GTACTCAGGAGGACTTGGTGCACATAGCCACGACTGTTATAGTGAGAATGTGTACATACATGCCTTATGGCCGGGTTCATGTGTAGATTGACATGTGTATATTCAGCTGGTTGTGTAAACTTCGACCCCGTGTGCGTTGAACGGGCTGTGTAAACACGCCTGTTGTCATGTGCGTGTTCACCTCTGTTGCTGATGGTTCCTTCTCCCAGTGTGCAGGGAAATTTATAGTCACTACGTACATCAAGCATGCGCTACACACACACACTCACACACACACACACACACCTTGTGGCCTCCAGTTATCAGAGGCCTTGTGGCGCAACGGATAACGTGTCTGGCTACGGATGAGAAGATTCCAGGTTCGAATCCTGGCAAGGTCGATAATATTTCCTTCGACCAAACAGCCAGAGCTCAACCCCGCAAGCACAAATAGGTGAGCACACACACACACACACACACACACACACACACACACACACACACACACACACACACACACACACACGCACACACACGCACACACACACACACACACACACACACACACACACACACACACACACACGCACACACACACACACACACACACACACACACACACACACATAATTCTTCGCTTCCATAATAGGGCATGTATGGAAGCGAAGAAACTGAACAAAAAGGCGTGGAGGAACTTCCGGAATAACAGAACACCAGAAAGCAGAGAGAGATACCAGAGAACCAGGAATGAGTACGTCAGGGTGAGAAGAGAAGCAGAGAAAAATTTTGAAAATGATATAGCAAACAAAGCCAAGACCGAACCAAAGCTACTCCACAGTCACATCAGAAGGAAAACAACAGTGAAAGAACAGGTATTGAAACTTAGAACAGGCGAGGACAGGTATACAGAGAATGACAGAGAGGTGTGTGAGGAACTCAACAAGAGGTTCCAGGAGGTCTTCACAATAGAACAGGGTGAGGTCACTGTGCTAGGAGAAAGGGAGGTAAACCAGGCGGCCTTGGAGGAGTTCGAAATTACGAGAGAGGAGGTCAAGAGACACCTGCTGGATCTGGATGTTAGAAAGGCTGTTGGTCCAGATGGGATCTCACCATGGGTACTGAAAGAGTGTGCAGAGGCACTTTGCCTGCCACTCTCCATAGTGTATAGTAAGTCACTAGAGACGGGAGACCTACCAGAAATATGGAAGACGGCGAATGTGGTCCCAATATACAAAAAGGGCGACAGACAAGAGGCACTGAACTACAGGCCAGTGTCCTTGACTTGTATACCATGCAAGGTGATGGAGAAGATCGTGAGAAAAAACCTGGTAACACATCTGGAGAGAAGGGACTTCGTGACAAATCGCCAACATGGTTCTACGATCAGGTGACACAGATTAAGCAAGAAAGAGAGGGCTGGGCGGACTGCATTTTCTTGGATTGTCGGAAAGCCTTTGACACAGTACCGCATAAGAGGCTGGTACATAAGCTGGAGAGACAGGCAGGTGTAGCTGGTAAGGTGCTCCAGTGGATAAGGGAGTATCTAAGCAATAGGAAGCAGAGAGTTACGGTGAGGGGTGAGACCTCCGATTGGCGTGAAGTCACCAGTGGAGTCCCACAGGGCTCTGTACTCGGTCCTATCTTGTTTCTGATATATGTAAATGATCTCCCGGAGGGTATCGATTCATTTCTCTCAATGTTTGCGGACGATGCTAAAATTATGAGAAGGATTAAAACAGAAGAGGACTGTTTGAGGCTTCAAGAAGACCTAGACAAGCTGAAGGAATGGTCGAACAAATGGTTGTTAGAGTTTAACCCAACCAAATGTAATGTAATGAAGATAGGTGTAGGGAGCAGGAGGCCAGATACAAGGTATCATCTGGGAGAGGAAATTCTTCAGGAGTCAGAGAAGGAAAAAGACTTGGGGTTGATATCACGCCAGACCTGTCTCCTGCAGCACATATCAAGCGGATAACATCAGCGGCATATGCCAGGCTGGCCAACATACGAACGGCATTCAGAAACTTGTGTAAAGAATCATTCAGAACTTTGTATACCACATATGTCAGGCCAATCCTGGAGTATGCAGCCCCAGCATGGAGTCCATATCTAGTCAAGGATAAGACTAAACTGGAAAAGGTTCAAAGGTTTGCCACCAGACTAGTACCCGAGCTGAGAGGTATGAGCTACGAGGAGAGACTACGGGAATTAAACCTCACTTCGCTGGAAGACAGAAGAGTTAGGGGGGACATGATCACCACATTCAAGATTCTGAAGGGGATTGATAGGGTAGATAAAGACAGTCTATTTAACACAAGGGGAACACGCACAAGGGGACACAGGTGGAAACTGAGTGCCCAAATGAGCCACAGAGATATTAGAAAGAACTTTTTTAGTGTCAGAGTGGTTGACAAATGGAATGCATTAGGAAGTGATGTGGTGGAGGCTCACTCCATACACAGTTTCAAGTGTAGATATGACAGAGCCCGATAGGCTCATGAATCTGTACACCTGTTGATTGACGGTTGAGAGGCGGGACCAAAGAGCCAGAGCTCAACCCCCGCAAACACAACTAGGTGAGTACAACTAGGTGAGTACACACACACACACACGATTGACTGCAGATTGAAAGATTAGAACCAGGGAGACGACCTCCAAAAGCCTGGATGCTGAGTTGAAAGTTAATGAATATGGTGTAACTTACCACATTGGATTTGACGATTATGCCTGAAGCTATGACCGGTTTGGGTTCAATACACACTCGTGGTGGTCCGTCGCTCACACACTCGTAAGATTGAAGAAAGTAACTGGTTTAGAACCTGTCACAGTTGGTTGTGTGGGAATCTTGGGGAGTGGTTGGCGTCTGAGTGGATCCAGTCTTCAGGACCTGCCAATATTGCCACACTGCACTGACCACTGAACATGGTTGTGACTTTTCCCACTGTGTGTGGGAATGGTGGAGGTATGGTAGAAGTGTCAGTTGGATGTTGTACTCGGATGATCTGATAATTTGGTCCTTAATAGTCTGATATAAGCACACAACATACACACACACCACAAACACAACATACACACACCCCACAAACACAACATACACACACACCACAAACACAACATACACACACACCACAAACACAACAGACACACACACCACAAACACAACATACACACACACCACAAACACAACATACACACACACCACAAACACAACATACACACACCCCACAAACACAACATACACACACACCACAAACACAACATACACACACACCACAAACACAACATACACACACCCCACAAACACAACAGACACACACACCACAAACACAACATACACACACACCACAAACACAACATACACACACCCCACAAACACAACATACACACACACCACAAACACAACATACACACACACACCACACACACAACATACACACACCCCACACAACACAACATACACACCCCCCACACAACACAACATACACACACCCCACAAACACAACATACACACACACCACAAACACAACATACACACACCCCACAAACACAACATACACACACACCACAAACACAACATACACACACCCCACAAACACAACATACACACACCCCACAAACACAACATACACACACACACCACGCACACACAACAAATACACCACAAAAATACCACACACACACACACAAAAGGGATAAACTCAAGCGATAAGAAGAGTAATCCGTCACTATCGCATCATCCCAAAACTGTGTAGTTCTGTAAATATATGTAATTCTGTAAATATATATTAAGCTAACGTCTCTTCCTGAGTAACAACCACCCAATTATATTTTAACAACCACCATCCACACCGAATAATTTTAAGCTTGAATTATTAAGCATGTCACATATAAACAGAACCATCCTCATACGGCCACGACTTGTAGCGAGAGTGCTCGTCTTGGGGGTCGTCTTAGTTATCATAGACATACTAGAACAGTGTCGCTCCTAGAGGTGCCTCGTGGCACTCCTAGAGGCACTCTAGGAGTAACAAGATCACCTAAGTGTTGACTTGGATTGATTAGACTCCCGTGTTTCTCGGGGGACCGAATAGCAGTTAGGTTAGGTAGAGTGGTTAACGCGAGGAATGTGTCAAGTATGTATGACTTGTATGTATATGTGTATGATGTCTAGAAGTGATGAGTATTGCGTAGAAGTGATGAGTATTGCGTAGAAGTGATGAGTATTGCTTTGGGGAGATGCCAGAACCCTCCAGGGAGTCCACCGTGTCCGCAACACTTGGCTTGGCTGTGACTTCATCTACGTGTGTGTGTGTCTGCTATTCTTATATATATACAAGAGTTCTTACATTCCTGTGAAGCCACTAGCATGCATAGAGCAATTCGGACAGGTACTTGTATTAATTTCCCCCGGAATGTGACTCACTAAATCGTTTAACAACCAGAGTACCCATTCACTGCTGGGTGAACAGCGGCAACAGTTAAGGATTGGGGCCTAGTCAATCCTCTCCAGGCCAGGATATCAACCCAGGCCAAACCCATGTATTATCCCCCCCCCATCTTTGTACGCACATTCTTATGAATTAAATTATTATTATTATTATTATTATTATTATTATTATTATATTGTTATTGTTATTATTATTATTATTATTATTATTATTATTATTATTATTATTATTATATTACTACACATTACTTCAGAAACAGAAAATCACACTAACGTGATATAAATAATATATATATATATATATATATATATATATATATATATATATATATATATATATATATATATATATAATATATATATATATAAGTCCTTCCTTGTTTCGTTACTTCTCCTTGTCTTCCTCTCATCTCTCATTCCTCCTACTTTCCTCCTAACCTTTACTTTCTCTCCTACCCTTTATTTTACCCTTTACCTCTAACCATTTATTTTTCCCCTTACCCCTCACCCCTACTTTCCCCTCACCCATGTTCGTGTACAAACAAACGCTCTCACCTTTTCTTCTGTTTTGCAGGTGAGTGAGTGTGTAGGCGCGTGTGCGCGCGCGCGCGGAGGCCGCGGCTACCCACATGGGGTACTTGACAATGGTCAGTTTCGTTATGGTATTCTGTGGTAGCTGCGTTTATAGCCCTGGTTACCATGGGAATGGTCCGGGATGGGCCATACTTATGCTCGCTCTGAATCTTCAATTAGTTTGGAGTAAGAAGAGGTGTGAAGATGAAGGGTAGAGGCTATTGGTAGAGACGGTTGGTGTAGGAGAAAGATGCTGGCTGTAAGAGATGGGGGGGGGGTGCTGGCTATAGGAGTTTGAGGATTGAGATTGTGGCAAGGAGATATGAGAGTAGTGGGATACAGATGCTGCTATTAGAGATGGGGGATGAGGGATGCTGGCAACAAGGAGAGATGGGTGGTGATAAAGGAGAGAGATATATGCTGAAAGTAGGAGGTAAAGTTGTTGTTTTAGATTCAGCTACTCTGAACAAACAGTTCCATGCAGCACGGGCTATGGTGAGCCCGTCGGAGATAAAGGGCAAGTGATGCTGGAGAGATGCAAGGCATAACTGTGTCGTACTTGTGTCTGAAGCTAGACACAGTGATGAATCAGAGTTTATCTCCTGTGGATTCATTTCCATATTCGTCTCCGAATGCATGATATAACTGATGAGTTAGCCACAAAATATGCTCGTACGGAGGGATTTGATTACCATCTTGGATGGCCTTTGAGCAGCCTGAGGGCAGCAATATACCGAGAACTGCAACAAAATCTAGTTGACTTGAGGCCAAGTGAAATTCAAACCAACTACTGCGTCTCTTATTCTAGTAGGCATAAAGAGCCACACGTCTATGGGTCATCCAATATGGTTAACAAACTTCCAGACATTGTCACTGTTACTATACTCGGCTACAAGTACCTCTAAGAGTTTACACCACCTCCTGGTGTAGACTTGACTAAATGTTAACTCGGTCAGCAGAACTATTCTCATACTTTACATCACTATATAACTGGATGCGAAAAATAGCAGAATTCAGATTACACCGTCAATTGTGTTCAAGAAATATGTAAGTACTTCTCAGTGACGTACGGGCAGGGATCTTAGCCAAGTATACCAAGTTTGCTGACTGTGGATTGTGTATATTTATGTATGTCTGTATAAACGGAATAGTAATGTGAGTGGAGGTGGACGTAATTTAATGTTGTCAAGTAGAGAGATACTACGTTCTCTCAAAGCTGTGGCAGATTACCATCCCAGCTCTGGCGCAAATGTGAGAAGTCCCAGAATGATGTATCTCTCATATATTAGACCTGTGTTCAATTATTCTACACCGTGTTAGCCTCATGGGTGTTGAGTTACCCTGGGTGTTGCGTTACCGTATATACAATATATATATATATAATATATATATATATATATATATATATATATATATATATATTATTAAATATGACCGAAAAAGTAAGATTAATAATTCTAACACGAATTTTCTCAATCTTTCGTACATTACGCTTCACTGTTGGAGGTAAATCAAAATCACTTCTCCAAAATTCATTTTTATTTCTAGTCTGACGCGACACGGGCGCGTTTCGTAAAACTTATTACATTTTCAAAGACTTCACAAATACACAACTGATTAGAACGTATCTCTGATTTTATATCTACATTTGAGTGAGGTGGGAAGGGTGATGTGGCATTAACACAAGACAGAACAGGAGAGGATATTAATAGGGTATTAAAAGTATCAACACAAGACAGAACAGAAACAATGGGTATTGAATAGAAGTGTTTGTAGAAAGCCTATTGGTCCATATTTCTTGATGCTTCTATATTGGAGCGGAGTCTTGAGGTGGGTAGAATATAGTTGTGTAATAATTGGCTGTTGATTGCTGGTGTTGACTTCTTGATGTGTAGTGCCTCGCAAACGTCAAGCCGCCTGCTATCGCTGTATCTATCGATGATTTCTGTGTTGTTTACTAGGATTTCTCTGGCGATGGTTTGGTTATGGGAAGAGATTATATGTTCCTTAATGGAGCCCTGTTGCTTATGCATCGTTAAACGCCTAGAAAGAGATGTTGTTGTCTTGCCTATATACTGGGTTTTTGGGAGCTTACAGTCCCCAAGTGGGCATTTGAAGGCATAGACGACATTAGTCTCTTTTAAAGCGTTCTGTTTTGTGTCTGGAGAGTTTCTCATGAGTAGGCTGGCCGTTTTTCTGGTTTTATAGTAAATCGTCAGTTGTATCCTCTGATTTTTGTCTGTAGGGATAACGTTTCTATTAACAATATCTTTCAGGACCCTTTCCTCCGTTTTATGAGCTGTGGAAAAGAAGTTCCTGTAAAATAGTCTAATAGGGGGTATAGGTGTTGTGTTAGTTGTCTCTTCAGAGGTTGCATGGCTTTTCACTTTCCTTCTTATGATGACGTAGACATCATAAGAAGGAAAGTGAAAAGCCATGCAACCTCTGAAGAGACAACTAACACAACACCTATACCCCCTATTAGACTATTTTACAGGAACTTCTTTTTCCACAGCTCATAAAACGGAGGAATGGGTCCTGAAAGATATTGTTAATAGAAACGTTATCCCTACAGACAAAAATCAGAGGATACAACTGACGATTTACTATAAAACCAGAAAAAAAACGGCTAGCCTACTCATGAGAAACTCTCCAGACACAAAACAGAACGCTTTAAAAGAGACTAATGTCGTCTATGCCTTCAAATGCCCACTTGGGGACTGTAAGCTCCAAAAAAACCCAGTATATAGGCAAGACAACAACATCTCTTTCTAGGCGTTTAACGATGCATAAGCAACAGGGCTCCATTAAGGAACATATAATCTCTTCCCATAACCAAACCATCGCCAGAGAAATCCTAGTAAACAACACAGAAATCATCGATAGATACAGCGATAGCAGGCGGCTTGACGTTTGCGAGGCACTACACATCAAGAAGTCAACACCAGCAATCAACAGCCAATTATTACACAACTATATTCTACCCACCTCAAGACTCCGCTCCAATATAGAAGCATCAAGAAATATGGACCAATAGGCTTTCTACAAACACTTCTATTCAATACCCATTGTTTCTGTTCTGTCTTGTGTTGATACTTTTAATACCCTATTAATATCCTCTCCTGTTCTGTCTTGTGTTAATGCCACATCACCCTTCCCACCTCACTCAAATGTAGATATAAAATCAGAGATACGTTCTAATCAGTTGTGTATTTGTGAAGTCTTTGAAAATGTAATAAGTTTTACGAAACGCGCCCGTGTCGCGTCAGACTAGAAATAAAAATGAATTTTGGAGAAGTGATTTTTGATTTACCTCCAACAGTGAAGCGTAATGTACGAAAGATTGAGAAAATTCGTGTTAGAATTATTAATCTTACTTTTTCGGTCATATTTAATAATATATGTCTACAGGAAAGACTGCTACCAAAATATACTAATATATATATATATATATATATATATATATATATATATATATATATATATATATATATATATATATATATATATATATATATATATAACACCAAGAACTCTTCTCCTGTTAAGGCCTTGAACATGAGAAAGACAGGAGCATCACACACCCACTGACAAAAGCAGTATTATAACCTCTACACCATAACCGATTGTTAACAAGACTTGAACGTCGGAAGCTATTTACCCAAACTATCACAACCCTTTTTAACAATCTGTTGTGGTGTAGCGGTCATAGGGAGCTGGAAGCTCTTGGGTCTATTATTGTTTCAATCAGCCTAGAACCCAGTTCTTTAAAAAAAAAATCTTTAAAAAACTGGAAATAGAAAAAAGTGAGGAAAAATCTATGGAGAGTGAAGCCCCCTCCCTCATTCCCCCCCCCCTCCTCATCTCCCCTTCCCCCATCTCGCCCTCAACCCCCCCCCCCCTCCCCAATATAAGGACTCTACAACCCCTCCTCTTCGCTGTTACCAGCTTGGAACCACTGCAGTAAATCCCGCGCAGACGACGCTAAAGGACCTCGATCAGGTTATATTTAAACTCTTTTGTGATGGTAATTGGGCCGGAAAGCGTGTATCGTGAGACGTTTTTGACCCCTCATTTGCATACAGGCATCTTCTCACCACCCCCCCCCCCTCGATGCTATCATCCTAGTGCTTCAGGTCATACATACACTGGCCTAGTTCCCAGTAATGAAGGTATTAACGCTGAGTAGTATATGTATCTTCGGGGTTTATTGGCACTGAAGAGGCAAGCCTCACCTGGCTCACCTGAGACATTTCCATGTTCACCTGCCACATGTTTTGACCTTCAGGTATGAGCAGTGTTGGGGGGAGGGTTTTCTTAGCGCTGCTCACAGTGGGGTTTGGTGTTGTGTTCGGTATTGCGTTCGTTTTATCTGGCTTTTGTTTCGTGGGTGTTGCGTTGGCCTCATGGGTGTTGAGGCACCCTGGGTGTCGGGTCTTAATATTTGAGTGGTGGGTGTTGCTTTAGTTTGGGTGTTGGGTGTAACCTTACCGTGGGTGTTCTTACCATGGGGAGGGGGGGGGCTTCAGCTTCCTTGTGGGTGGTGTGGGTTTTTCCACCGGGTGTAATGTATTAGATCTTTCCTTGGATACTCTTCCACCTTCCCTCTCTCCCCCCCTCACTGGCATGTACCTCTCTCTCTCTCTCTCTCTCTCTCTCTCTCTCTCTCTCTCTCTCTCTCTCTCTCTCTCTCTCTCTCTCTCTCTCCTCCTCCCTCGCAACTCTCCTCTCACTGCCATTTTCACAACCCGGTGCTGGCACGGGGTCAGGTTTTGTATATGTTTAAGCCAGTGTGCCTCCGTCTTCCTTTGCTCGTATTTAGCATATAAGAGTTCACCTTCATGTTCCTGGATGCTGGGACGTGTTCTTGGATGCTGGGACGTGTTCTTGGATGTTGGGACGTGTTCCTGGAAGCTGTGGGCGTGTTCCTGGAAGCTGGAACGTGTTCCTGGATGCTGGGACGTGTTCTTGGATGCTGGGACGTGTTCTTGGATGCTGGGACGTGTTCTTGGATGCTGGGACGTGTTCTTGGATGCTGGGACGTGTTCTTGGATGCTGGGACGTGTTCTTGGATGCTGGGACGTGT